GAATTTTAAAAAGTTACTTAAACTCTCTGTGCCTCAATTTTCTTATCTGTAAATAAGGAATAGGGTTATTGGAAGAATTAAATTAGTTAACACACATGAAATACTTAGTGCCTGGCTGAGAGTAAGTGCTAAATATCTATTAGCTGTACCCATTATTATCTGAGCCTCGGTTATATCATCCATCAAATGGGCACGATACTATCCATGCCACAGGATTGTTGTAAGGGTTAAATGAGATAATATGGCTTAATCCACTAGCGTGCAGGATGTAGTAATGCTCAGAGTGAGTTGGTTGAAACGGAAATTTTTACCAGAATATCTGCATGTAAAGTCAGTGGCTGAGCATGTGGACCAGCTAGCGTTTTTGGAAAGTTCTTCTGAGCGTATTGTCAGAGGAACCTTAATCTAGCGTTGGAGAGTGTGGCTCACTGCCCATCGGAACGCCCATTGCTATTGTAGGTTATTGCATTAGTTTCCTATGGCTGCTGTAACAGATTACCACAGACTTAGTGCTTAACTGCACAGATTCCCTTGCAGTTCTGGAGATCAGAAGTCTGAAATAGGTCTCCCTGGGCTAAGATCAAGGTGTTGGCAAGAATTTCTCCATCTCAAGATCCTTAATTTAGTCACATCTGCAAAGCCCCTTTTGCCACATAAGGTAACATATTCACCTACCCATGATCTCAGTTGTCATAACTCAATCCAACCAGCAAAGAGTAAGGGACACTGTATGGAGCTCCTGGGCTGAAATGGAGGGTTAATGAGTGTGCGTGTGGTGTGTTGCGTTGGTGGGGCGGGTGGGGGAGAGTTGTTGAGGTTAGCAGTGTAACACAGGGCCGGATTATGGGGCCTGGGCAGATAAACTAAGGAATCTAGATTTTTATCCTAATGGTATGTGGAAGTCACTGACAGTTTCTGAGTAGAGCGTGAGAAGCATGTGTTGGGAAGATTGAATTCAGTGCTACTGCCAGATGGATTCAGCAGGAGAGACTTAGAGTCTATTAATTAGGATTGTGTCAGTTTCAAGTTACAGAAAAATGTGACAGTGGCTTCAAGAAGGAAGTTGATTTCTGTTTTGTGTTCTAGAAGTCTGAAGGCAGTGAGTCCAAAGCAAGAGTGGGGTCAGGGACCCCCTCCTGGGCCTCCTTGCTTTCACCACGCAGCATGGCTTCCCTTCCGTGGTGCCTCGTGGTTCCCAGCGACTGCTGGGTCTCCAGCCAGGAGGCCTCACTTCGGCCAGCAGGAAGGGAAAAGCAAGGGCGCAGGACTTTAACTGTTAAAACCTAGGCCGTTCTGGTAGCTTTAGCTGTTAAAACCAGGGCAGTTGTCGCCCTGCGCTTTGTCATTTAGCAAGGGTACGTTTAACTTTATAGAAACTGCCAGATTGTTTGCCAAAGTGGCTGCACCACTTTGCATTCTTACCAGCAATGTATCGGGGTTCCAGTTTTTTCACAGTTCTCTGCCAATGCTTGGTTATATCAACCTTTCTGATTGTAGCTATTCTAATGGAATCTCGTTGCGATTTTAATTTGCATTTTTTTTAATGACCAAGAATGTTGAACATCTTTTCATATGTTTATTTTGTCAGCTGAGTATCTTCTTTGGTGATGTGACTGCTCAAATCTTTCTCACATTTTCAAGTGTGTTGTTTTTCTTTTTCTTATTGAGTTATAAGAGTTTATATAGTCTGGATATAAATAATATATCAGATATATGTTTTGCAAATATTTTCTTCCAGCCTGTGACTTACTATGCCAGTGCATTGTGAAAAAGGGAAGTTTTCAGTATTTATATATTTTTTATTGTTTTAAAATATATCTTTATTGATTTCAGAGAGAGGAAGGGAGAGAGAGAGAGAGAGAGAGAGAGAGAAACATCCCCTGCTGGGGATCGAGCCCACAACCCGGGCATGTGCCCTGACCGGGAATCGAACCGCGACCTCCTGACTCATAGGTCGACGCTCAACTGCTGAGCCATGCTGGCCGGGCCACCAGCATCACTTCTTTTCTGCTTTGTTAGTAAGTAAAGTGTTACTCGAACACAAGCAGTGTGTGATCTCTTGACAGGTAATCTGATAACCAAGAGGGCTACTGAGTGTCTAATGGGCGGTGAGGGTGTACAGTGTGGAGACACTGGACAGAGGGATGATTCAGGGCCAGGTCGGGATGGACCCAGAAGGCCTGTGATGTCATCACCCTACTCAGAATGGCATGACATTTAAAATTTATCAATTGTTTATTTCTGGAATTTTCCATTGAATATATTTGGACTGTGGTCGGTTACAGATAACCGAAACCGCAGAAAACAAAACTGCAGATCCAGGGGGACCACTGTTTTTGCCCGGCTTGGAGGAAGGAGAACAGCATTAAAGTAATAAATAGCATATAAATGATGTAATACACTGACAGTGTCAGATAAAATGTGGTTAAGTATCAAGGAAGCTTGAATGTAGGTTTAAGGGAAGAGAGAGCTTTTTTTTTTTTTTTTAAAGAAAGACTTAAACGCATAAACTGTAATTGAAAAATTTTAAAAATAATAAAAGACCAGAGAAAGAGTCAAAAATCTTCTAAGTTTCCTTCTTTTTCTCAGAAGGAATCTCACAGATAAAGCTATGAAAAGGGACCGGTCCAATTCATAAACAGTTTGATCTGTTTAAAAGGGGGGTAGTTACCTGTGATAAGCCAGCGTGCTCTGGAGCTTCACCCCTTTACCGGCTACACAACCTTGTTCAGGTTACTCGGCTTCCCCGAGTTANATAAACAGTTTGATCTGTTTAAAAGGGGGTGGTTACCTGTGATAAGCCAGCGTGCTCTGGAGCTTCACCCCTTTACCGGCTACACAACCCTGTTCAGGTNTACACAACCTTGTTCAGGTTACTCGGCTTCCCCGAGTTACTGTAAGAAGTAAATCACTTAATGCATTTAAAGCACTTGGCTCAGTGCCTGGCACATAGTAATCCCTGAATAAACATTTCCAGTTTTTAAAAAAATGTGGAGCACTCCACGATTTCGCGTGTCCTCTTTGTGCAGAGGCCATGCTAATCCTCTCTGCTTCGTTCCAATTTTAGCCTGTGTGCCGCCAAAGCGAGCACTGACATTTGCCATTTTTAATATAATTTTAATGCAGACTGAAAAGTGAGCTACCTCCATGCAGCAAGTGTGAGAAACTGTGGACTTTGAAGGCTCACAGGCCTGAGTCCATCTCCAGCTCAATTCCTGGAAGCAATTTGCTGAACAAACAGTTCGCTTAATTATTGAGTATTTTTTTTAAGCCTGGGAAATGGCCCCTGCCCCGGCCCAGCCCTCTTCCTGCCCTGGGAAAGTGGCTCAGTTATAGTCTTTTATGAATCAACTTCTGGTGATGTGCCCTGCACATGATTGAGTTTCCTCCTAATCAATGAGTTGGCAAGTTGGCCTGCTTAGCCTGGGTTCGAATCCCTACTTTGTCACTTACTTTAGCTGTGTGACCTTAGTCGAGTTATGAAATTTCTCTGAGCCTCAGTTTCCTCGTCTCTAAAAAGGCAGAAATAATAATTCTGATTTCTGCAAGACAGGTGTAAGGATGAAATGAAGTCCGTTGGGTGAAATTGCTAAGAGTAAGATATTTAGGATTTAGTAAAGATTTTACATGCAAATGATATTACTTAAAAGTCGTTCCTCCTTAAATATTCCCTCCTCCCCACCTAATTTATATCAATTAATAAATTGCTATGGCACCCATTATATTCATAGGTAACGGAAGAATAAATTTAAACCCAGTCCCAGAATATTGCCTTCTCCGGAAGGATTTGCCCCCAAGCAAAATAGCCTTGACACCACTCACCATNGGCACCCATTATATTCATAGGTAATGGAAGAATAAATTTAAACCCAGTCCCAGAATATTGCCTTCTCCGGAAGGATTTGCCCCCAAGCAAAATAGCCTTGACACCACTCACCATGTGGCCTCGTACCTTTCTCAGCCCACGTAGAGCCCTGAGGTGGGCCATCGTGGGAAAGCCTGGATGTGACCGTGTCACTTCTCTGCTCCGAATCCTTCCTCCTAAGCCTTCACACCAGCTCCTGTCCAGGACCAATACAGCAAACGGGTAAAGGCAGGTGTATCCTGGTAAAGACAGTGCTGCTCTGGTGGAAGCTCCCATCACCCGTGGACCTGAAACTCAGCTCAGGGTTGGAATTCTTCACGTGCACGGGAGCTGCTTCTCTCGTCCCCCGGCTGCTTGGCTGGGCTGGCTGTCCCTACCTCCCCGTGCGTGCCGGGCGCTGTTCTGAATGCCGTAGTTACGTGTATTAACTCCCTCAAGTAACTAATATTATCCCATATTCCCATAAGGCTTGAGAAGGTCAAGTAGCTCTCCCAAGGTCACACACGGTTAGCAAGTGTCAGAGCCAAGATTGACGGAGGTCAAGCGGTCTGGTGTCAGAGCCTAAGCCCTGCGCCACTGCGCCGTGCCCGCTCTTAGCAGATGCGCGGGGGAGGCTGCGAGGCTGGCCAGGGGATGCTACCTTATGCCACCCACCCATGAACTCCTGGGGAGACGTATATATATCAATTTGTGCCATTCACTGTTACTAGACTGAAGGAATATGGTTACTTGGAATCCTCAGATGTGGTTTTTGCTTTTTCAGATCCAAGATATAGAATGTGACTATGAATAATTGANTTTTCAGATCCAAGGTATAGAATGTGACTATGAATAATTGATCATAAACTGAGTTGAGGAGAAACTTCAGGGTAGATTTCCCCCCTGAAGTTTTCTGTTCAGTCTCATAGTGACCAAAGTAATGAAAAATTCCAACTATGCGTGCCCTGCTCAGAGCTCCCGAGGAGTGCCGGCGGGGGTTGGTTACCTGAGTTCTTAAGGACCACACGCAAATGGTATTTTAAGTACAAGGGGCACGTGTGAAACATGAGAAGACGGGGAGCAGTCTGCAGAAACTAGAGTTCCGGGGCGCCCCGGCATCTCACCCTGCCCCCTTCTCTTGTGTTTGTCACAGCCTCGCCCCTCTTCCTCGCCTTGAAGATGGAAAAGGCGCTGCTGGGCTGCTTTCTGCTGATCCTCGGGCAGACCCTCCTCCCCGCGGAGGCCAGGGAGCGGCTGCGCTGGAGGCCCGGCCCCAGAGGAAGACACGCGCGGACCCACCCCCAGACGGCCCTCCTGGGTGAGTGCTGGGGGCAGCGCCCATGGAAGCAGGCCACAGTGGGTGGGGAAGGTGCCCAAGTAGCAGCCTCCCCTCTGTCTTCATCAGTCAAAATCAAGAGCCCTTTAAAAATGAGCTCATGCGGCTGCTGTGGGAGCCCCCTGTCCCTGGGTCCCCCCCGGGTGGGCTGGGGGAGAGGGGATCTCGTGGGCCACGAGCGCATCCTGGCTTGAGGCTGTGGCTGTATGTGGGTTTTCAAAATGATATGAAATCTCTTCTATTCCAACGTCTTCTATTTACTCGGAAGCTTGTGATTTTTCTCTGAGACGCAAGGGCAAGATTTTCCATCTGCAGAGGCTCTTGCTGGACTTCTCTGGACAAGGGCGTGATGAGGATTTTCGTGGTTTTTGTCCCGCTAACCTGTGTTGACGATGCTCCCCCGCTGGGCGGCATGGGACCCGAGCAGGGGGCCTGTGGGAGGCAGGAGTGGGCGCAGAGAGGTGGGGACAGCGTGCTGTTGGGAACGGAGGAAGGCCGGGGCTTTGATGCCCACCCAGTGAACATGTTTTCTTCAGGTGAGTTTTTCTTTCTCTGGGAGAAATGAAAGGTCACGGAAGAGCGTGGGATATGAATAAGTGGTCCCGGTTGCAATGTGGGCTCTGGTAAGCCTAGGACGTGGGGCTAACAGAAGGTTGGCCAGTGGCAGAGGCTGGGGGTTAGCGTAGACCTGGGTCACATCCCAGCTCTGGTACTTACCAGAGGCGTACACGGGGGTGGTGTCATCTCTCTGACGTTCACTTCTCACCCATAAAATGCACTGTCAGTGCTGTCCTTGGAATATTTCTGTGAGGAGAATTGAGGTAAGACAGTGTGTAAATCGTAGGTATGCAATGAATGTAGGTTTACCACGACTCCCATTCCCGGTGGCCTGGTGGCCTCAGCATCCAAAGTTACAACCAGATACCAAAGGGCCCAGAGAGCCCTGTTCTAGGAGGCTGGACTCTACTGAGGTTGACCTAAACGATGACCCCATGACACTTCAGTGTCCTGAGCATCCCTGTTTCCATACTGATGTAAACATAAGGCTTCTGCAGCTGCGGAAAGGACTGGGGAATGTGCAGTATGCTGATTAAAGGGTTTTTAGAAACAAATTTCAAGATGATAAACATGTATAAAGTATATAGAGAGAACTGGAAATGCCTGATTCCTAGGTCACCTGCAGGGAACGCACAGTCGGATTTCTGACCGGGCCGCTTTGGGAATGAGCCACCACACACTTTGCCAGAAAAGCATATTCTTTCTCTTGGCTCAAAATCAATCAGTCGGTCAATCAATCAGTCAATCAATGTTTCTGTCACACATGCGCACACCCCAGCGCCTTCCCCGGTGGGCAGCATTCTCTGCCCTCCTTGGCCCTAAGCTCAGGCCCTGAAGCGGCAGCCCCCGTCTTCTGAGGTCAGAGCTAGAAGCTCTTTTGCCAAAGGCGCAAACCCCACATCCAGTATTGCCTCCTATTTCTTATTTTGCCGGAGAATGTTTCAGGGACAAAGACTAGGATGGAAGGTGGCGCATCTCCCCGCCCAGGGAGTGGCAGAGGGCCGCTCCCGGACATGCTGGGAGGCTGCTCGGCTTGTGAGCGTGGCTGAGTGAGCGGGAATCATGAACTTGGAAGGCAGAGCCCACAGCCTGGGCCTGGATTCTCAGGAGCGGTCTGCTTTTGGTCTCGGACAGGGAACGGAGGTGGAGGAGCCATGCTCATTGCAGTCCTTGCTCTGAGTTTGGACGACCTTCTTTTCACTCGTACCTTGTGTTTTGTGGGTGTTTGCTTTTCTTGTTTCCTATGTTCCGAACATTGCTCAAGCCATGCTGCACTTTTTTGGTGGCCGTATTGATGATGTCCAGTGGCCTAATGCATTTCACTGTTACTTCATTACAAGGGTGTCTCTGAAAGTTTAACAGAGTAGAAACAGAATTGTTTCTTAGGTTAATTTTTGTTTGAATTTTTGGATTAAAAAAAAGAAGAAATGTTCCTGTTGATTTCAGAAAGAGGGAGGGAGAGGGAAGGAGAGGGAGAGAAACATCAACGATGTGAGAGTCATTAATGGGCTGCCTCCTGCATGCCCCCTGCTGGGGATCGGGCATGTGCCCTGATTGGGAATTGAACTGTGACCTCCTGGTTCATAGGTCGACACTCAACCACTGAGCCACGCCAGGCACCGGATTTTTTTAAAGCTTATATTTTATGTCTCAATTCAGGTCAGAGTTCCAGTAACAACTTGAGTTAATTAAGAAAATAGAACGCCCTTATCTGCCCCTCCTATGAACGACTGCAGGCTGCTCGGCAGCAGCCTGTGATGTGCGTCCACAGGGGCTTGTCTCTTACTTCATCCTGTTATCTGGAATTTTCTGCTCCATGCCAGCCACGGGAACTTAAAGAGCACCACCACCAGGAAGCACACTGTAGCGGGGGAGACAGCCGTGTAAAGAAAGCGTTGATTTGGTGGAGCCTGTGCACAGCGGCAGAGCCAAGCTCAGCGACGGTCCACGCTGTGTGCTGTAGGCTCCATATGAGGCAGTGAGTGGCTCTCAGACTTCTTGGTTGCAGAACTCTTTTATACTAAAAAGTTATTGAGGGTCTGGAAGAGCTTTTGTTTATGTAGGTTAGAGTTAGAGCTATCAAGGTTTATTGGATCAGAAAGAGACACAGAGAACTTTAAAAATATTAATTAATTAAATTAAAAATAATAAGAATAAGCCCACAACATAACCTATAACTGAAATAAGGTATTTGTATAAAAAAATCAGTATTTTCTAAATTTTAAAAATTGGTGAGAAGAATAACACTGTTCTGCACTCTTACGAGTCTGTTTAATGCCTGGCTTAATCAAAGACAGCTGGCTTCTCATTTCTCACCCACTCATTTCGTTATGAAATGCTGTTTTGGTTAGACTACGTGAAGAAAATATGACCACAGATATGTGGTCAGACAAAGGAGGAGCATTTTAATTGTTTAAAATAAAATTGTGGATATTCTTGTTTGATAGACTTTAAAATTTGGCAAGTGGTAGATTCTTAAAGGTTACTTGAAATGGAGAATCTAAAACATCATTAAACTTTTGGTACTTCCACACTCATTAGAGAATGAGAATCTAAAAGGCAAACAGTGCCATTATGAAAATAGTTCTGACCTCGTAGACCCTCTGAAAGGGTCTTGGGGCCCCCTAGGGGTCCCCAGAGCACACTTTGAAACGGTGAAGGTTGTGACCATGTGGAGCCCTGAGGGGCCGGGGGGTAGGAGCAGAGTGAGGATGGAGCCTGGAGGCGGGCCCTGGTCATGCCGTCAGGATGCCATGTCTGCAAGGCGGGTGGTCTGAGCTGGAGACAGGCCCAGAGGAGGCAGGAACCAGATCACATAGGACCTCAGGGTTCCCACAGAGTCTGGGCTTCATTCTGCAAGGGTGGGAGCCTCTGGCGGACTTGAGCAGGCAACGGGCCTTGATCACCGCTTACTGCCTTTCCGCCCACCGTGCCTTCTGGATAGCCTCGGCCTTCCTGGGCTCCGGCAAAGGCCAGCGTGAACCTGCACTCCCAGGCCACCAGGGAACAAACNCGGCCTTGATCACCGCTTACTGCCTTTCTGCCCACTGTGCCTTCTGGATAGCCTCGGCCTTCCTGGGCTCCGGCAAAGGCCAGCGTGAACCTGCACTCCCAGGCCACCAGGGAACAAACGAGCACATTCTCCAGCCCAAGTTCCTCCTAGGCAGCCATGCTGGCAGGTTGGAGCGCAGGGTGCTCTGTACCCAGAGCACAAGCTCATGGAGGCCTTCAGATTCTCGCCCTCTGCACCCACTCCCCTTCCCTCATCAGTGGCACAGATGCCCTCCCAAACTCCTCCAGCCCCCGGCAGGGGACGCTAACTGGAGGCCATGCTCCTCCCCTGCCCCCTGATCACTGCTTGCTATGCTTTTGCACATTTTTTCCCTTTGGTAGATCACTGTCCTATGGGGGTGGACCTGTCACCAGGGCAACCGGTGTGGATATATATATATTTTTTAATTGTCAACCAAGGATATGTTTCTTTTATTGATTTTAGAGAGAGAGGAAGCTTGAGGTGCAAGAGAGAGAGAGAAATATTGACTGGCTGCCTCCTGTATGTGTCCTGACTGGGGACCGAACCCACAACCTAGGCATGTGCCCTGACCGGGAATCGAACCCGCAGCCTTTTGATGTACAGGGCGATCGATACTCCAACCAGCTGAGCCACCGGCCAGGGAATATTGGCCTCTTTGAGACCTTAACTGCCTTGTGCGGGAATGTACCCAAACCGTCCTGGCTGGCACCGGGCGGCTCTCCCTGTTGCGTCTGTCTTTTACGAGGTCTTGCTGACGTGGGTGTGCTTTTCTGAATTTACCAGCCTAGCTCATCTGATTTCCACTAACTTGGAAACCTTGTCCTTTTGCTACAGTGGAGTCCCCTTCCGATCAATATTGCCCGTGCAGAATTCGTGTTTGTGCTGCAAGAGAGCACTTTGTGGCAATAGGATTCAAGAAGGGGGAGGCGGAGATTTAAAAGGCGGCTGGCCCCCTAGTGTGGCCAGGGGATGATGGAAGCGGAGCCCCCTCCAACTGCCCCCACACACTGCTAGGAAAAATCCAGAGTCGTTGGGGGTGGCAGTGAACCCAGAAGCCACAGAATTTAGTGAAATTTCTTTACGATGGTTCATTTACTACTTAAAAATAAAGCTAATGAAGACAATCCGAGAACTCACTGTCTACAGCCCTAGGTTCTGTTCCTTGGAAATCACAGTACGTGACAACACTTATTTCCATTTTTGCTCACATCTCTCATTAAGCCTGGCATCAAAATATGAGTAAAGGCACAATGTGTTTCATATAAGGAGGTGAAACCTCTTGGGTTCACGATGTGACTGGAGGAGTTGGCTGGCCTGGGGAATTAAGTGTAAGAATGTCCGGCTCTGTGTTGCCAATGGAGGTTTCCGCCCAGGTTGAGAATTATTAACA